AGGACAGAGGAGGCAACGAAGCTGGGGAAGGGCCTGGAGAATCCATCTGATGAAGAACACTTGAGGGAGCTGGGAATGTTCCGTGTGAGGAAGAGGAGGCTGAGGGGAGACCTCATCAGTCTCTACAAGCACCAGGAAGGTCATTGCAGAGAGGTTGGTGCTGGTCTCTTCTCACAGGTCATGAGCGACAGAACCAGAGGGAAGGGCTTCAAGCTGCAGCAGGGCAGGGTCAGACTGGACACCAGGAAAAGTTTGTTCCCAGCCAGAGTGGTCAGAGCCTGGAACAGGCTGCCCAGGGAGGCGGTGGAGTCACCATCCCTGGGTGTATTGAAGGGTCTTTGTATGTGGTGTTGGTGGGTCTGGTTCAGGGGAGAACTTTGTAGAGTAGGGATGATGGTTGGACTTGGTGATCCCAAGGGGCTTTTCCAACCTAAACAGTTTTATGATTCTATGCTCTCAGTCACTGTGTGTATGCTTTCAGTGGTTTTATTGCACTGCACACTTGCTTCCAGAAAGAAATGCAATGCACTTTTCTTGTCTGCCTTGGACTTTACTGACTTTTCCTCCCTGTTTTTAGGCTAAGTAACTTTCCATTCCCTGCAGGTAACTTTCCATACTTTTTTCCCCCTCCGTTTTGGATTCAGTGCCACATAGACCATTTGCTTGCAGGTTGTATTCTTGAGGAGCAAGAATGCAATCTTTCCCCAAGCTGAAGGTTGCTGTCTCTAAGTGGTGCTCTCCCCCACAGCCTGGCCTCCCCGCGGCTCCAGCGGCGCCCGCCGTGGTGGCCCCAAGGCCCCAGCACTACCAGGAGCCGGCGCTGCCGTTCCCTGTGGTCCAGCCCAGCACTGTGGCCTCCCTGCCCCTGGGGCAGCCAGGGCTGGCCGCCCAGCAGGTGAGCTGCACTGAACTGCTTTCCCATCCTGTGCCTCACCTGTGCTCTGCTCCATTCTGTGACCCTGCAACCAGTTAGAGGTGTTTGAAACTGCCACCAGAGAGACTCAGGGATGGGGCAGAGGGTGCTGGCTTTAAGGGGTGGAAGAGGAGGCTCCATGGTGACCCAATAGCAACTTTACAGTGTCTGAAGGGGCCTACAAGAAAGCTGGGGTAGGGCTTTTTATATGTGTGTGTAGTGAGAGGACAAGGGGCAATGGTCTGAATCTTACAGAGGGGAGATTCTGGGTGGACACTACGAAAAAGTTCTTTGCTGTGAGGGTGAGACATTGGAACAGGTTGCCCAGGGAAGCTGTGGCTGCCCCATCCCTGGAAGTGTTGAAGGGCAGGTTGGATGGGGCTTGGAGCAACCTGGTCTGGTGGGAAGTGTCTCTGCCCATGCAGGTGGGTTGGAACTAGATGATCTTTAAGGTCCCTTCCAACCCAAACCAGTCTGTGATTCTATGAAGAGTAACAGGCTTGAGGAAAATCACTAAATGATGCCTTGGAACTTCTTGATGTAGTTTAAGACCTCACTTCTATCGTGGCTAAATAGCATCGGCCTGAAACCTTGCATTGATTTCAGTATCCTGCTCCTTAAAAATTGAATACTTTAAAATCCATTTCATGAGGGTGGTGAGACAGTGACCCAGGTTGCCCAGAGTTGATGTGGCTGTGGATGGAGCTTCGACCAACCTCATCTAGTGGGAGGTGTCCCTGCACATGGCAGGGCGATGGAAGTGGATGATTTTTAAGGCCCTTTCCAACCACAACCACTATGTGATATTATGATGATTTGGCACCTCCTTTCTAAAAGGTTAGGAAGTGACTCAGTTGCCTGGTGTGAAGTGCCTCTGAACCCTCAGCAATGCTGCTTCCTGAGTCCTGCACACGTTAAGTGTAGTTCAGTGTAGGCGTCTAGCCAGGGCCTTGATCTTCCAAGAGAATAAGTCTGTCCCTCTGAATTGTCTCCAAATAGTAATTTTTTGTGCATTTTTAAGTACCAGATTCTCCCCAAAACCTGTGTTCCTTAAAGCTGTTGACAACACAACTCCCTCAAGTGGCTGAGGGCCATGACGAGGTGGCTCCCCATGAGGAGCACACCAGCAGTCCTGTATGGCCTGGAAATCCATGGCTTGTTTTTGTGGTTCTACCAAAAGCTTGGCTTCCTTCAGCCAAAACTGTTGACAAGCCTGGGGGGAATGTCTGTATCCTTTGTGACTGGCATATATTGTACCTCTGCCAACCGTTATGGTTACCACCATTTATCTCCCAGGTTGCTTTTAATTATGTTTTTTAACATGCCTGACTCTTCTAGAAGCATCAGGAGAGGAGCAATGTAATTTGGTCTCCTCAAAAAACATACGCTTTTGTGAAGTTTTGTCATATGTCGGGTTGGTTTTTTTCTAATGGTGAGGGATATTCTTATGGTTCTCTCAGCCAAAAATTTTTACACCAATGCAAATTCAGGTCCTGAGTAGTTGCACAGATCACTCCTCTGGGGCTTTGTGCTGACAGCTGAAAATCTGTTGTTTACTTCTCCCTCCCTCCCCAAGTAAATGTTGGTTTGGAATAGGAAATTTGCCCAACTTGCTCAATTTTCTTCTCATGCCCTTTCCTCACAACCCTGCTGTCTCTTGAAATAATTCTGTCCCTGATAGTAAAAGGATTTAATAACTAGTCTGTCTTTGTTTTCTGATCTCACCAGGAAGATTGTTATTAGGTAAAATGATACAGTTCTTGTGCAGAGCTTCCCAGAGCACCCGTGTGCCTCAGGGACAGAATGGGACATGACATTCCCAGTCTCCAGGCACGATGCCATGAGCAGTGGAGATCTGCAGTCTTGTAAATGAAGGGTAGGGCAGGTCAATGAAAGAAAGGCAAATCAGGGATAAAATTCATGTGCCTGACAGAAGGGAAGGTATTGATCTTGTATGAATATACATGGATAGTTCAGACGCATGGGATCAACGTTGCATCTCCTCCTTATTAATTTTTCCCAATGTGGTCTCTGTGCATTTATAATGTTTAGGTTATGAGGAGGCAAAGTCAGTATAATTCATGCAGCTGTTTCCCCCTCCTTGTGCCTCACACAGTTCACAAGCATTTTGTAAAGTACAAGCTGAATTTGCAGTGAAGGCTTTGGGCAGCTGCTGAGGTGGGGGCTGCTCCGCTGGGTTAGCTGCTCAGTGCAGGGTTCTCTTGCAGCCAGCCTGTCTGAGCCCCAGATGAATCAATGGGGCTGCTCATCCCCCTGAGCTGCCTTGGGCTGACAGGGAGGTTTGGTGGCCCTGGCCCACAATGAGGACTGGGCATCAAGAAGGCAGGGACAACCTCTTGTCATTCTACCCTGTGACAGGATGAGGGGCAATGGATGCAAACTCGAGAACAGGAAGTTCCACCTCAACATGACGAGGAAGTTCTTTACTGTGAGGCTGACAGAGCACTGAGAGAGGCTACCCAGAGAGGTTGTGGAGTCTCCTTCTCTGGAGACTTTTCAAACCTACACACCATTGTGTGCAACCTGCTGTAGGTGAACCTGCTGTGGCAGGGTGGTTGGACTAGATGATCTCCAGAGGTCCCTTCCAACCCCTAATGTTCTGAGATGCTGTGAAAGGCTGCAGGAGCTGAGCTGGGGCAGTGCAGAGCTGGGACTGTCTCCAGCCTGTCTTGCAGTGCTTCAGTCATTTAGTGCATTCAGGCTGGACACTCAGTTGATACCAGTTGCCAAATACTCTTTTGTCCACTGATCCTTCTACTGGAAAACTAGCAGTTGTGGCTGAATGTTAGATATTTAAGCCTGGCTGACATCTTGCTTCCTTGATACATAACCTATGGTTTTGGTGTACTCATACCTAAAAATGGGTTGATCAATCCTGCTGCTAAAAAAGTTCAGAGCAAAGTATTTACAGTACTGATTCATGGTGGAAGTGGCAGACATTAAAGATGATATAGTTCTTGGCTATTAATTTTAAAGTTACCTTCTGACCATGAGCCATGATTTTTGGTTCTGTGTGCTGGAGAGCCTGGGTGAAGCCATCAATCCTGTGGTCCCCTATGAAGGTTTGTCCAGAACCAGTGTGGTGCCTCAGTGTCATGCTTCTGAAACAGAACTGGTTCTTAAGTACTTTCAGCATTAATTAGAGGAGCTGAAGAGGGAGGTACATGTATCATGGAAAAGGTGAAAGTTTGTTGCTGATTATTTTCAGCTTTAATGCAGCTTTTTATTTCTGTTCTGCTGTATAAACCTTGGCAGACCAGTGGAGCACTGTTCTCCCTGGAAGGGTAAAACTGCTTTTTTAGCTGCCACAGCACCTCAGAAATAACTGGGATCCAGCTTTTACTATAATTATTGTGTTTTATTCATGTCTTAGATAATAAGTGTTGTGTATTTCAGTGCCTGCTACACTATGTAGTCAGCTTTCAAATGCCAAGATCAGCTGGGTATGATCTGCATAGTAGGAATCTTGGAATTCAGTGGGTGGGAATTGTATGGGGCCAACTAGAACAAACTCCAGGATTTAAAGACTCTGAGTCATTATAAATAACCTTTCCAACACAGTTATAACTTGTCTTTTCAGGCAATGTATCTTGCATTTAAATGTGTTTTAAACATAAGCTGTTGTACAGTGCTTAAGTTAGGAGTGCCCTTCTCTAAACAGTCCCCACTCCAAGCGACAGTTCTGCCCTGCCCGTGAGGCTCAACTAGAGAGAGAAATGGGTGGCTGTGTCCAGAGAACTGCTTCTTTCATAATATATAATAATATATAAGCTATAACCTTTTGTATTCTTTTCTTTCCTAGCAGCAACCCATATCACAGCAAGCTTCTCTGCAGCAGGTGCTGGCCAGCCAGCCAGTTTGCCCAATGCAGCCTGCGACCCATCTGTTACCCCAGTATCAGCCCCAGACCTCTCAGGTGGCAGCTACCAGTACACCACTAAAACCCCTTCAGATTTCAACTGTACCACAGCTTCCACCAGTGGCCCCTTCCCAGGTAATATCTTGGAAACCTGTGTGTGAATACCTCCATTTGAGTAAAGCTTTCCAGCTAGTAATTACCATGATTTGCAGTTTTTGTGTGGCTATTTGGAATGCATGCAGATTTAATTATTAAGAATATAGCTTTTTTCCTAATTCCTGTGTTTTTCTTTATTGTTTGATTTGTTTGGTGAAGCAAAAATCTCCTCTGTGAGTAATCATGTGTCATGCTTAGAGAATCCATTTAATGGCAGTTATAAAACTGCAATGACTGCATTTATTTTTTAATTATTTGGGTTTTTGCACCTTCCCATCTGGCATACTCTCTTCCCCATCCCAGGCTTAAGAGCATGAGAAGTTGCCCATTTTTTTTTCTGTTTCTGAGATCCTGACTTCACCACTTTCCCCATCACCCACCAACCCCCCCCTTCCCCAGCCCTGATCTGGTTTCAGTAGCAGGGATGGACCCTTTCCCCAGCCAGAGAGGGTTTGTTGGTGCTCTCAGCATGTTTGCTAGTAACAACCACCGTGATGTGAGGCAGCTTTCTCCAAGGGGAAGCAACAAGCTGCTTTCATGACAACAGGGTAGTTACTGTCTGCTACGTCACTGGGAGCTTTTGATTGCAAAAATCCTTTTCTGGGCTCCTCTGTGCTGCCTGGCTTGCAGCCAGCCTGTTTAAAAACAAGGGGTTTAAATTGTCTTACTGAATTTTGCATTAAAATGTTTTGCTTTTTCTGTCTGGTCCAATGCCTTTTCATTTCTGTTGAAATGAAAGCAACTTTTAATTCGTGTGTTGCTTGAAGGCCTCAAGCTAACAGTAGAAGTAGTTTTCAACTTCTAAGGTATAAAAGAAATACCACAAATTATTTTTTTTTCTCTTTCACTAATGATTTAAGCATTTATAAACCTCAGGAAAAGAATGGAAGTGATTAACAAACAGACATAATTATGATCATGGCACAGGTGATTTTTATGCGCTTGTAAGGCAAATGAAAACTACTTGGTATCATCAGTCAAAGCACTTGCAATTTATGTGATATTATATTTTTTTCAGCTTCCTCAGTTTCCTCCCTGCTATTCCTCCTCTGGCAGGACTTGACAGCCTTCCTCCAAACCTCTCTGATATACCTGCTGCAAACGTGCCCCCCATACCTGCTCCTTCTCAGTACTTTGCTCCGGCTGTGATTTTGCCCAGCCTCCCCATGCCCCCCACCCTGCCTCTGGCACCAAACTCCCCCGCCCTCCCCATGCAGGCAGTCAACCTTCCTCACACCACCGTGGCTTCTTTGGTCTTGCCCTGCCAAACTATAGTGCCAAACATGTCGGCGGCTACGATCCCCTTGCTGGCGGTGGCCCCGCCGGGAGTGCCGGCCCTGCCGCCGCACCACGGGGTGCCCCAGCTCTCCCAGCAGCAGAGGCACCAGAGCACCTTCCAGCAGATCATTCAGGGCGAAGCACCTTCTCCCCACCACACGCAGAGCACACAAGCAGTGTCCCAGCCACAGCAGCCTCCACCTCCTCAGGCACTTCAGCCCGGCCTCATCCATCCTCCCGAGCAGGCGGTGTCAGCACCGGGGGCTGGGCACCAGGTAACGCACGGGCGCGGGGCTGGGTCGGTGCTGGGCCCGCGCACGGGGATGGACACAGGCATTCCCAGGGGAAACATGCTATGGGGAGGCTGTTTTTCCTTGCTCTCAAGGTGTTTGGTTAACCTCTTGGTCCTGTGAGTGGTTGCTAGAGCTGTGAGGTCTCCATCCAGGGACAGGTGAATAGTGAGGATAAAGGCAGTAATCTATTTGGCTTTGGACAGCAAGCAGATGAGCACCTTTGGAATTCCCTCTTCCTTCCTGTATCTCAAGTACAAAAGAGGTACGAGCTCTTGTTCTCCCGTGGTAGGAGAACATGTCGACCAGCCTCACCCAGTGCCCAGGCTGCCGGGCGCTCCTGGCAGGGCACTGCCAGGCTGGCAGAAGCAATGGAGCTGGTCTGCTGTACAGCTGCTTTAAAGCAGTGAAAAGAAGTGGCCATTCAGTAATGACTCCAGAAAAAATGCACAGAAGTCCATCAGACAAAAATGAGTTCTAGCTGCAGACCCCTTTCCCCTTAAAAGATATAAAGCATAAAATAAAGCTTCTAATATTAGCACTGTTTACAAGAGAGCTTGTTCAGAACTTATTGACAGAGTCTGTAAATACTTCTATTGCCACATCTGTGATATGATAACTTGAAATGTGGTCTGACCCAAGAAGGAGTGCACTAAAACTGCTAATAATAGCGTTCTTGAAAATCTGTCTTCTGCTGCATCACTTTGCCACAACATATTGATTAAAATTCATAACATCCCATTTCAGCCTGCCTCATCATGGCCTCTTCAAAGTAGGGCATAATTTTTTTAATTTCTCCCTTCTACCATCTACTTGGTACAGAAATACTGTTTGGGAAGATGTAGGCAAGGAGAGCCCGTGGCACTTCCTACTGAGCTCATGGGTTTTCCACAGTGGCTTTAGAGGCAACTGAGTCAGGGACATCACGTGCAGCCAGCATAGCAAACTGAGACTGGAGAACTGACATTCCCAAAGCATCCTGGTACAGTCGTTATCTAGCAAATATCCATGGAAGAAATGCATAGTTGTATTTTTAGGATAAAAAAACAGCTGTTACAAACAAAACGGACAGTGCAGAGAAATTGCCTTATGTTTTATAGGGCTTTTAGTGGTTCAAAGGCCTTCCCATGCAGTGCTATTCTGGCAGTTGATGTTTAGCACCTCTGGGTTTAGTTTTGCCCAGATAAATTAGACATTGAGACATTTTGTGACTTACTCAAATTGTGTAAGATTTAAAAAAAATAAAATGTACTGCTCTTCTGCAGCATACACCACAGCTGCTCTTCTAACAACCTCCACTTCACAGTCCTGTAGCTCTTACACGTTGCAAAGCACATTGAGTCTTTATTTTTATCCATGTTAAAACCTGGAATAATAATTTCAGCTCATATCCAGAATCTGCAGAGAGCACGGTGTAATGAAACTGAGTGGCCTAATTCTCATCTAAGTCTCAATTTTTTTTTCTTAAAATATTCACCACGTAGTCTTAAATCTCTAGGTGGTGATACTTCAAAAAATTAAAATTAGGCAGAGTTTTACCTAGGCTAAAACCCATTTTTTTTCCTTATTTCCTTTTTTCTCTTCCCACAAGCTCAGTCCCCTTGGAAAAAAAAAAAAAGAAACATGATGTACCTAAAAGGAGAATGTTCTGCTTTCAAAATAACTGTTATGCAGAATAACAACAGTCTCTTAAGGTAGTTTGGCATCGAAGAGCACGGGTCCAGTTCCCACCAAGTGCTTACGCACACGGGTTATTTTAATGCACTGAAGAAACCCACTGAGATAAATGAAAATCCCTCTGTGTGTGCGATGCCTGGGAGTGTTTGCAGGCCTGGGGCCCTGGTGCCTAGCATGTCAAGAGTTAAGCTCTGTCTTAAATGTTCAAACTAAGTGGAAAACAATGTGTTCTGTTAGACACCAGTATATATTCAATAAAAAAGATTTAATTGTGTGGTCTGTACCAGCTACTGGTTCTATATACATAGCAGGTTTTTTAAAAATCCTAATTTAGATGATGGTTAGTGTGTATTTTTCTCCGCATGGACATTGTAGTAGGCTCGTTGAAAGCAGAGCAAACTATTCAGGGCAATTAATTAATAACATAAGATTTTAAATTCTTAGGAAAATATGGCTTTGTTTCTACAAATTAATGGAGCCTGAGCAATATGCACCTTGTCACAAGTATAGAGGAAGAAGCCTTAGATTTTTATTTAGTCATTCAAAGCAAGTTTAAAGTCTGAAGTAGTCACCAAGCAGAGACACACAAGGCCAGCCTCACTGCAGAATTACAGTCCTGTCTCAGGGCACTCCAGGGGCTGTAGTGCCTTGTTGTGTAAGTCACAAGCATTCAAAGTAGAGATGCATTTTAATAGCTGTCTGTTGTGTTGCAGCAGATTACTGGACACCCTCAGTATGCTTTGGAAGCTGGAGCCCAGGTGCCCGTGCTGCCTGTGCAACCTTCAATAGTCATGTCACCGCCTTTGCAGCTGCAGCCCGAGCTGCTGCCTCCCCGCGTCGCTCCAGAAGGTGTTTCACAGATTCCTGGCAGCCTTGCAGCAGCTAGCCCGCCTGTCCCCATAGATCACTCTCTGCCTCTCCAGCCTTCTGCTCTGCTGCAGCTTCAGCCCGATCTTTCCCAGCCGCTGGGTCAGCAGCTCCCAGCTTCCTGCTCCGCTGTCCAGGCAGTGGCAGAGACATCTCAAGAGGTAGAGCCCTTTCCTCCGAAGTAACTCACCAGCCTCACCCTTAACCTTCTCACTTACTCCTTTGTGAAATAAAGGACTTATTTCACAAGGGAGATGATCCTCTCTCAGCATATAAAGCCACTTGTCCTAGATATCCAAGCTCTGGATCAGCAAATCATTGGCTATGTCAAATGAAGCTGGAAATTGCATGTTGTACCTAGTGAAATGTCTCCTTGAAGGAATGAGGCAGCAGGACTGAGTATCTCCTTGTCCATAGCTGAGCAAAAATGCAGAGATAGAAATTACTTTTTTTTAAGTGCTGTGGGTCAGTAACTGTTCTGTAGAGTTTCATCCATGTTTTGTCCAGTCTTGTTTTAAATGTCTCGAGCACTTTTGCAACCAACCATCATTTGATTTAAGAAACTGCTTCACAGTCTGATTCTTCACTGTGCAGCAGCTCTTCATGCTCCTCATCTTGAGCCTTATTCCCATTTCATTTAGCATTGTATCCTCCTGTATTGCCTGAATTCTAGTTTAGCCCTGGGGATTTTGTTTCTTTAGATATTCTTAGGTGTTCCCAATTCTCAGTGGCCATATTAAACAAGATACATTTTATTATTTTTCTTTATAAAAAGGTCAGTCAGCTCCTCCTGTCTGCTATTTTGACTTTTTTTTCCATTCCCATAATTGTTTAACTTTCAGTCTGGACACAGTGTCACAGGACATTCCCTTCTCTTCAACTCTCTCATAAATATCCATAAACAAAGCAAAATAAAGGGTTCAGCATTTTTGCCAGATTTCAGTAAAGAAGTCTTAATTTGTTCTCCACTTACGAATTTAAACATCCCTCAGCAATTCTGCTTTCAGAGTCGTTCCTCTTGAAGCTCTCTGTTCTGAGCTACCTTTCCTCCCAAAGTATCAGTTTCCATCTTTTCAAACTAAATGTCTTTTCTTTCACCCATGCTTCCATGCACTAGTGGCATGCCTCAACCTCACAGGGCAGTTTATGACTTTCATTAGAGATGCAACTTGACTCCTCTTCCTGCTGGTGTTCAGTAGGGATGCTGCTAACACTAAAACTAGATCCTCCTTCCCCTGTTTGCCTGTCCTGCCAGATACAGTTTAATTTCTGTCATAAATAATAAATACTCATGCTGTGAGGCAGGGGGTTCCCTGCTGAATTTCTCTACCTTCTCTATTAGAGCAGAAATAGTAGAGTCTGTCTATAGTGCTTCACTTGCAGAATCCCCAGGTAAAGCCTGGCAGTGTCAGGCATATCCCTTACTCAAGGTATTTCTTACCCAACTGCCTTTTTTCTGTCCATGCAGCTCAGGTCAGGTTCAATGCTGATGCCAGAACTACAGCCTTCAGCGCCCAATCCATCCCGTTAGAGGTTCTGGAAGGATGAATAAACCTTGTTGTTATTGTGTAGTGTGATACGGGGGATACAAGTTGTCCTGTATTACCTGGGAAGTCCATGTGCAATGAGGCACATCTGTCCTGTCACATTATCATATCCCTTAGGTATTTAACCACTGTTCTAACTTCATTCTCGTATCTCATCTGTAAGTTAACTCCTTTCTCTTTCATTTTAAGAAACCAATCCAATACCATGGGATGGTCAGATTGATCAGCATGCTCCCCATGCTGATTTTACGACACACATTGCTGAGGTTTTCTTGGGCTCAAGAGGAGTTTCATATCTGTATCTATTCAAAACACTGCATTTTGTTGCTACTTTGCTATAACATTTTCCCCTCTTAGCTGTGTTTCAACGTGTGACAGTATTCACATCCAAACCCACCTGAACTGACCAGACAAATGAAATTTTGCCAGGCACTTGGTCAAGTGCATTGCTAAAACTGAGATACATTATGCCTGTGTTCTCACTGTTCATTAATTCTGCAGTTTTATTGACACTGCAGTCAAGCTTGGCATGGCAAACGTGTGGCATGATAAGCAACCTGTGGGGTTGACTGGTTAACTACTGAGCTTTAACTCCAGCCTGCCAACTGTGTTGGTATCCAGAGGCAGTGATGCCAGTCATGGGGCTTGTTTCTAGCTGTCTTGTCTATAGAAGGACTTTATAGACATGTTTGTAAATATATATATAAAGATATATATATAATTATATGTATTTATGAATATATTTGGGGTGTGTGTATATACGTAGGTATATACATGCACAGGTGTTTGTGTCTGTGTCCATGTATGGGAAGTGTGTTCCAGTAGGGGCAGCAGCATGGTTGTCACAAGTTCTGTGAGCACAGGGCTATCTGCTGTGACAGTCACCCTGCCCATGGCCACACCAGCACTGTGACCAGTGGAGAGGGAAGCTTTTAAGAGGAATTGCTGTTATGTAGGAAGCAAGAGGCACGATGTGAGGGCGGTGTTTTTAAATGATGAATCCTCATCTTTTATTTCTAAGTTCCCTAGAAATGTTAACAATAAGCCAAATAAAATGAAAATATTTCATGTAGTTCAGGAACCATGAAGCAATGAAGCAAATTGGCTTATGCTTTATATCCATTGAAAAAGAAAATGAGGTGGTGCTTATGTGGATTTGTCCTGCAATCAAGTTTTTCCACTGTGGTGAGAAGTGTTTTATTTCTCTCACCACCACTTCTGCTTTAGAGCCAGCAGAAGGGAACTGGCAGGTTAGTGGCTCTGTCTTCAGAAGTGACCATGCACTGATACTGATGCTTGGGGCAGAGTAATGTTGGGAGGGTAAAATGGACCTGTTTGTTTTTTTTAATTCCAAAATTGGTTAAACAGAATGGTTTAGGCTTACAGCAAAACCCTTCTTAAAGGTGTTTTACATCTGCCAATACAATGCATTTACTTAAATGATTTTTTCTTACATTTTAGGAGCAGGCAATACAGGACAAACTCCAGACTCTGTCACAGAGCTGTGAAAGGTATCATTATAATCTCTTTGGCATAAGAAATGTTTTCTTTCTGGAGGCAGTTTTTCCTCTCTCTCTTTACAAGGCTGGGCCAAATGCCTGGCCTTTGCCTTGGCTGACAGAAGAGTAGCAGGAGCTGGAAGGGTGCACGTCTAAGGAGAAAGAAACATGTACATGTTCTGTGTGCAGTGTGCCTGTTCTGGCTCCTCCAACTCTTATTTCTGTAGCTCAGGTGTTGCATCCTAGCCTTAATGTACGTACAACAGCTTTCATTTCAGGATGTAAATTCTCTTTTTGTTAAGATAACTGAAGTGATACAGTCCCTGGTTTTGATGCTGTTGGGAATAAGCTGGGTGTGCCTTTATCACCTGGTGTAGTGATCCTTCCCCATATGTGTTATGGGGAGTGGTTTATCAGTGGGAGTTGCATGTTGAGCCACTCAAAGGCACCGTTCCAAGTGTTAGAACCCGTGGCCAAAACCCATTCTGGGTTTTTGCAGTACATGAGGTCATGCTCAAGCCTGTAACGAGGTAATGCCAAATAACCCCCAGAGCCAGCTCAGCACCCCTCAGAAGCAAAAGCAAATTCCCAGTTTTGCCAGCCCTCATCTGCGGAAGGGGAGGCAGCACAGTTCAGAGGAGGCAGTGAAGAAGAGCCCTAGAGAGGAAGGTTCACTGCTGGACCACAGAGGGGCTGAGTGGGGGCCAGTGGCTGCTTCTGGGGGAGCAGGACTCCCCTGCCCAGGCGTTGCCCCTGCCACTGCAGGAGGCAGCAGCAAGCCAGATTTCTCAGTGTTTCGGTATGGGTGAGGCAGAGGGGAGCAGTGTGTTCACAAGCAGCTGAATGTTGCCTTGCAGGAGCCAGCTCCAGCTTTGTCCTTATTGATTATAAAGCCTTGGGGGTAGGATTTTAGTGACCTTTTTCTATTTTCCTGAACAGACCGAGTTTATGAACTTTGAAGATGCTTCTTTCATACTGTTTTCATTCTACTCCACCAAAAGAGCCTGACCCAAGTCAATGCAGCCCTGCCACCTTAAAATGGAACCTTTTCCCCCAAGCATTTGCTGCTTTTAAATAATACATGGAAAGTGAAATACAGTTTTTCATGACTATAGGTTTGTTCTGACTGGAAATTTGTTAGACAAAATTATTTAATTTTATCCGTCTAGATGTTGTAGAAAGATACAACAAATTTTCAATAATCTTTTAAATTCTAATTTGGTTGTTCCAGAACTGTGTGTGAAAAGCTGTGGCTGCAGAAGCATGGAGAGGCTGTGTCAGCAACAAGTCTTGTGTGCAGAGGGAGGTCCTTCTCTCCCAGGTGCACAGGTGACTTGGTGCTGGAGCTGGGTTGTGCTGTGGTAGCATGGTAATGGGATGTGAACCAAAGGGCTGGCAATTGCAGCAAAGGTGCAATCTGGAGAACGTCCTACGTGCAAACTGTGTGCACGTTCCTACCATACAAGTTACATTTACAAGGTTAGAACAAGAGGAAATGGGGTCAAGCTGCACCAGGGAAGGTTCAGATTGGGTATTAGAAAAAATTTCTTCACAGAGAGTGGTGAGGCCTTAGAACAGGCTGCCCAGGGAGGTGGTGGAGGCACCATCCCTGGAGATGTTCAAAAAAGGGGTAGATGTTGTGTTTTGGGAGATGGTTTAGTGGTTGTAGGTTGTAGGGTGGACAGTGACACTTGATGATCTTGGAGGTCTTTTCCAACCTTGATGATGATTCTATGATTCTAAGGTAGTTGCAAGGGGGAGTTGGAACTAGATGGTCTTGAAGTTCCCTTCCAACCAAACCATTCTGTGATTCTATGAAATAAGCTGTTCTGTACAAATAGTGCAGAACAAGAAGTAAAAGCCTTAAATTTAAGAAAAGGATCCATAGGTTAGACTTTAATTCTTTTATGCATAGCTAAATGAACACAAATAAATTGACAAGGAAGGTTATGAAATCTCATGGGAGCTTTGTAGGATCACAGAGCTCTGTGAGGACTGGTTTAGACAGAGCTGATCATACCTTGGGGTAATAAACAGGCCTGATGGCCTTCCAGGGGTCCTTCCTGACATGGTGCTTAGGAATGTCTGAAAATTTCCTGCAAATTACTTCTATGTTGATGTTTTCCGTACATTTGTGTTACAATAATGTTGTTAGCAGCTAATGTTTTGGCTGCCAAAATAATACCCTGTTGCTAGCTGGTCATCTGGGGTATTGTGCCATAAACCTTCTTTCTCATCCTTGAGAAGTGCATAGAGAGAAGCAGTGACTTAGGGGCTGCTGTCCTGCCTCCTCACTCTTCTCCTTCATCTCTGGCAAGCAAACTGTCCCTGCTCTGACCTTTTGCTGTGAGTGCAGACTGGCAGGAGCTCAGAAAGGTGGACCTAGAAAAATAGGAACTTACGCAGCTCAGAGAGGGCCTGTAATGATGCCCCAAGTGAAGGGATTGGGGGGGTGTAGTGGTATGTCAAGAATGATGGGTCTTTCCCTGTGGTTTTGGCAGAAATCTTAATAGATCTTAATGGGTGTGGTAGCCAGACTAGATGCCTGACATAGAGTAGTTCCCTTCCCTTACTGAGCATCTTTCTGTAGCTGGGTCAGTTTGGGCCAGAAGAGTGCAGATGTGCACTTTTTTGGTTTTGCACTCTCCGTTGTTGTGTACGTTACCTACGTGTAACTCCATTGTGTGTGACAGTGGTTCTATTTTGGGGTTTTTCTTCTGTTCTTTTACAAAGCTACATGAGTCCAGATGTAACTTCAGGTAAAGAGATGAGTGACAGCTTTGAAGGAGCCATGGGAAGTGGAAAACAAGAAGGAAAGTCTTCAAAGAAACATAAGAAATCTACACGTGCTCGTTCACGCCAGGAGAAGTCCAGCAGACCCAAACTGACCATATTAAATGCAAGTACAACCTCTTTGAGGGTAACTTTAGCATTCCTTTGGATTTTCCAGGAATAACTGCTCTTTTTCTTTGCCTGTAGGTTTGTAACACGGGGGATAAGATGGTGGAGTGCCAGCTTGAGACACACAATCACAAAATGGTGACTTTCAAGTTTGACTTGGATGGTGATGCACCAGAGGAAATAGCTACTTACATGGTGAGACCTGTTGGTTCAGCTGCCCACAGCTTCTTCTTGTCCCAGATTGCTTTGGCCAGTGGATCCTCACATGTGTTTGCTCACTGAGCCTTCTGACTGACTGTGAAAATGAGCATTAATCGAAATGTTACTGGTTTATTCTTTATTTTTATGTGGTCTTACAGGTGGAGAATGAATTCATATTGCAGAGTGAAAAAGAGACATTTATTGAACAAATGAAAGATATTATTGATAAAGCAGAAGATATGCTCAGTGAAGATACAGAAGGAGAACGAAGTTCTGATCAGGGAATGAGTCCCCAACAAGATGCTGATAGGCTGGAAATGAGTGAGGTAAGAAATGTGCTGTATCCAGTTCTGAGGCCCCCAACACTTGAAGGACACAGAACTATTGGAGCAAGTCCAGAGGAGATCATAAAGATGATCAGAGGGCTGGAGCATCTCTCCTATGGAGACAGGCTGAGGGAGTTGGGGGTATTTAGCCTGGAGAGAAGGCTCCACGGAGACCTTAGAGCAGCTTCCAGTGCCTGAAGGGGCTCCAGGAAAGCTGGGGAGGGACTTCTGACAAGGGCAGGGAGTGAGAGGACAAGGGGTAATGGATTAAAACTGGAGGAGGGGAGATTTATGGTAGACATGAGGAAGAAATTCTTCACTGTGAGGGTGGTGAGAGCCTGGCCCAGGCTGCCCAGGGAAGCTGTGGCTGCCCCATCCCTGGCAGTGTTGAAGGGCAGGTTGGATGGGGCTTGGAGCAGCGTGGAATGGTGGGAAGTGTCCCTGCCCATGCAGGGGGTTGGAACTTGATGATCTGTAAGGTCCCTTCCAACCCAAACCAGTCTGGGATTCTGTGATTCAATGTTAAATAAAGATTTCTAGTTTCCTTTTGCTTAATGGTCAGTTACTGTACATGAGTTTTACATCCTGTGTTTAAAAAAAAAAAATATTAGCTAGAAAAATAATTATTATCTATGAAAGCTTATAGTGTGAGTGGGATGATGCTTGTCTTGCGTTGACATGAGATGAGACAACTAGTTCTTCAATTGCTTTGTATTTGGTTTTTTGACAGGAGAAGAGGCAGTCTCAGATGAAGACACCTGTCTATCAACAAAATGGTAAATGTGCCTTTGATACAAATTAATCTCAAGCTTCAAGGCAGTGATTTAGTTTATGCAGGAGTTTGCTCAATTCAGGAAGAAATCCACCAGGTACTGGTGGATGGAAACACATCTAGAAATACGGGTATAACAGTGGTCTTGCTTTCAGCAGTTTGGAAGACCTCAGGGTAATGTGGGTGAATCAAACATCTGGGGATGTTCAGGGAAGCTGAGAATCAGTGGTGGAAAACTCAGGACAGAACAGGCAAAAGTTTTTACAACATGTATTTTTACAATGATGATTGCATTTGCAAGAGAAAGATAAGATTGTGTTTTTGTTGCTAATTTAATGGAAAGTTGTAGCCTAGAAGTTTTCAGCTACTTCAGTATTGCAGGGGGATCTTGGCCTTCTGAACACAATCGTATCTTGAAGGTTTTACAGTCAAAAGGAAAGGGAAGGGCACTGGGCCTTGTAAGTGCCTGCTGGTGGGAGAAATTAAACCTCTGTGGAAAGAACCAGCTTCCAAAATCCTTGTCAGTGCCCGTTTCCCTGTGTATTTTCTCCATGATCATAGGGAAAGAAAAATCATTTAGAACTTCTGTGACAAGTGGAGAAACTGGGAATCCTCCAAACTAGACATTCTGCTCAAAAGATGCACCTGTAACATCATCTGATTTTTTCAGTTCACCTTTTTTAACATAACATTTTTATTTCTATTAATGGAAGTTACAAGGTGTGTTAGTTCTGGTTTGCCATTTATGTATGCCAGGCTTTGACATAAGATGTGGAAGGCAATATTAGCTAGAAAACTTACAACATGGAAAAGTTAAGCAGGAAAAACTTTACAAAATTAACAGATCTTTAATTGTGAGAAAACTGTCTGCAGTGCTGTGAATCAAATTTTCATGTATGTAAATATGAGCCTTCTAAACGTATGAACACTTTAAAAATAAATTTTCAAATAACTTTAATCATATGGCAGAATGGGGAGGCATCACTGTCTCCCTTCCAGAAGGGATGAGAGTCAAATTAGGAGCCATTGATTTAATCTTGGCTAATACAGTAGAAGCTTTGAGTTTTTTTCTAAACATGGAAATTAAGACTAGGTTTTGACAGATGATCTGGGATGAATGGAAACTATTGCGTTTACTTTTTATTTTCTTTTCACCTCTAGTTTTACATACTGGAAAAAGGTGGTTTATTATATGTCCTGTCGTGGAAAATCCTGCTACTGATGCACCAGAATTCTCTCCCCCGGTGCCTCAGAGTGCACAGCTGTCCGAAGGGCCAGGTATTTACAAACTTTATAGAAAATGTTTCCTTCTCTGAAGCTGCTGTGTCATCTCCCTTCTGTCCTCACTTTAATTGTGATTGTTTCACTTAATTTAGTTGAAGGAAGAAAATTATGTATTTTGATACAGTGTGTGATTTAAGCGTGTTGGATATCAGGAAGCACCTCCCATGGAAAGGATGATCAGACACTGGGATGGGCTGCCCAGGGCAGTGGTGGAGGCACCATCCCTGGAGCTGTCCCAGGAAAGGCTGGATGTGGCACTTAGTGCCCTGGTCTGGAGATGTGGTGGTGTCAGGTCATAGGCTGGACTTGATGATCTTAGAGGTCTTTTCCAGCCTTGGTGATGCTGTGATTCTGTGTTTGATATTGAACCCAGTTAGGAATGTTTATTTGAATTTCAGGAAAATCAGTACTTTAACTCTGCGTTATGCTGAAGTTCTAGTCACTTCTGCTCTAACAAGCAGTGTCTTCCCAAGGACGTGTTTTCTGCGTAATCTGCAGTTTTAAGCTCTAATTTGACACGTGTAGGAGTTATTTTCCGGGGGGAAGCAGGAGCGGGTCCCAGCTGGCTGTGCCCAGGAGGCTTGGCAGTGACCTGCCCCCCTGCCGTGCGGCTCCCCGAAGCGCTGACCTGGGCTTGCTGTTCTTGCAGAGCCGGAGCAG